TACGCTGGCTTCCGTCGACGTCGTGGGAGCGCACGTCTGCTAGCATCTGGTTGCACACGCGGCGGTTCTTTCCTCCAGCGCGATGGAGCGGCGTGCTGCTGGAGGTGGGCGGAAGTCTTTCTTGCAGCGCGGGATCGGTGTTTCCTGCCCGATTCCTAACTACAAAGAACCTTCTTCTCCCCCCTTCCCCCTCCCCTTTCCCTCTTTCCCTTCAACTTCTACCCCCCCAAAAAAAAAGTTACAAAAAGAGACCTGGGATTGCCTGGTGAGAGCCTGGGTCGCTTCTCCGAACTTCTGGACCATATGTTGTCTTTTCTCGGGATTGACATCTAGCAACATACGGATCCAGGCATTATCTGGATGGAGGATGCGGTCCCAGTAGCTCTTCCCGTCATTCCCACCTTACGTCAGGCCATGACGGAATCACGGCATCTACCAAACCATCCACACCTGACCTCCCCGCGCTTGAGTCAATGTACCTGGTCAGGGAGCAGGACATCCCCTTCTTGCTGTGCCCTCTGCAGCCCAACTCGATGGTGATGGAGTCCACCCAGGGTCACCAGACAAGAGAGCACATGCGCCGACAGATTGTGAAGGGAGAAGGAATAACATGATGTCTCACCGGATCTATTCTGCTACGGGACTCGGACTTTGGATTTCCAATTACGAGGCCGCCGTGGTTCAATATCAATATCTTCTGTGGCAGAAGATGGAGTACCCTGGCTGTGTTTCTCCCAGACCAACAAAGAGACCTGGCCAGACTGTTCATCGGGGAGGCAATGCAGCTCTCCAAACAACACTTGGCCACAGTGAGGCATCATGCTGACTGCGGCTCTCGGGCGCTTGGCGCAGTGGCCCTCTGGTGTCACATGTGGCTCCGAGCTGGCAATCTCCCTCAGGAGACGAAGCAGAGGGTGGAATACATGGCTTTCGATGGCACCAGACTTTCCCACGCTAAGACGGACGGCAAATTGGACTTGACCCACAAGGCACGCCTCGCCGCTCGCAGGATGGGGTGGACCCTTCTCGGCAGTGCCGTAAGTGGCCATGGAACAAGTATAACCAATCCGCCCTTGGGATCTGCGGGAGAGTCCCTTCTCTGGGAACCCTCCATGAAAGAAATTAGGAGAGTAAGTACTCGGAGGAGGGCTTTCTCTGCGGTGGCACCCAACCTATGGAATTCACTCCCCAAAGAGGTCCGCCTGGCACCGTCGTTACTGGTTTTTCGGCACCAGGTAAAGACCTTTTTATTTAAACATCATTTTAATGGTTAAAATATATGATCTGGCCTGGGCAACTTCTTCTTCCTTCTCTTTTCTCCTCCTATATTCTTTATTTACTTATTTTATACTGTTAATTTTAATTTTATATTATTGTATCTCAGTGTATTTTTTGTATTTTTGTATTTAGTGGTAATTTATTATGTTCTATTGTATTTCAATGTATCTTATTGTGTTGTAAGCCACCCCGAGGCTTCGGCAAGGGGCGGCATAGAAATGTAATAATAATAATAATAATAATAATAATAATAATAATAATAGTAATAATAGTAATAATAATAATACTCCATGGGACGGCAACCCTTCCACCAACGACCTACCCATCCCCACCACTCCAAAGCGCCTTGGTACCAGCAACTAGAAAGCACGTTGATACCTGCCAGCATTGGCAGGTGGTGCGAACCTTTCCTCCTTCCTTGAACTCACCTCTTCCATTTGAGGATAGACTGCAACGTCATCTCCCCATATGGGAGTCCATCACATCTCATCAGTGGGTTCCCTCAGTTCTAGAGCACAGATATAAAATCAAGTTTGAAACTGTGCCTCCTCTTGCGGTGATCCGCCACACAAGCATCTTCACCAGACCTGCTGGAGGAAGTCACTGAGCTGCTTCACACGGGAGCGATTCAAAAAGTTGGCCGCTCAGAGAGACTGCACAGTTTCTACTCGTACTTTATGGTACTGAAGAGAGACAGAGGTGCTCAACTCATCTTGGACCTTCATGGAGTCAGTAGATTCATCAGTACCAAAAAATTTAGGATGACCATGCTCCAAAATATTTTTCCGTTGCTCACAGAAGAGGATTGGTTCCCATCCCTGGATTTAAAAGACGCCTATGTCCATACAGGCATCCACTCGACACACAGGCGCTTCCTGAGGTTCACTGTTGGTACCAACATCCATGAATGCAAAGTTCTTCCTTTGGACCCGCTACCGCATCGAGGGTGTTTCCAAAACGTATGGCCTCAGTCTGTGCCCACCTTCGCCTTCAGGGTGTACAAATCTAGCCCTACCTGGATGATTGGCTGCTAGTTTCATCCTCCAAAGTGGACCTCGTAGCCTCAATCAAAACTGCTTGCTCTTTACTCCATCAGGTAGGATTGTGCATCGATAACGAGGAGTCCACCCTTGTTCCTTCTCAGGTCATCAGCTACATTGGAGCACGCTTGGACTCGATCCACACCAGAGCCTGCCTTCCGTCGGACTGGATACAAAGACTTGTATGCTCTGTGCACAACCACATCACGAAACGGACTGTTCCCGCACGTGCGATTCAGCAGGTGCTCAGTCATATGGTGTCCACGGTTTCCGTGGTGACGAATGCGAGCCTGCAGATGAGATCGCTCCACCTATGGGTCAACTGCAGCTTCCATCCAAAGCACGATTCGCTATACCAACCATTGCACCCTCCGTGCTCGGTCCTCCAACCTCTATCTTGGTGGATAACTGACCCAACTCTACCCATTCTGCTTCCCCTTCTGCTTCAACTATCCTGAAACACCCACCTTCCGCAAGTTCCACATCTCATTATTCAACAGCAAGGTCCAATTCAGCATCCAGACCTACATACCCTGAAATTAACAGCGTGGCTCATTCAGTGACTTCTGAACTGATAGCGGTCTCCACACATACAATTCCTTTGGTACCGACATCAGCCTTGGCCTCGACAAAAGCCTTGGAATCATCAGCAGTCTCACATCAATGACGGCCTCAGTACCAACTTCAGTCTTGGCACCGACAACACCAATCTCGGCACCGGCATCAACTTTGGTACCGACGATAACCCCAGGATCGACAAACGTACACCCAGACATTCAATTCATCTTGCAGTCCGTGTTGAGGCCGATCACACAACGTTCATACGGTGTGAAATGGAAGCGTTTTACATGCTTCGCAACCACTAACAACTTTTCTCCTGAATCTGCAACCATTGAAAACATTTTGCAATTCTTACTCTCGTTACACCACAGAGCCCTCAAACCTTCCATCAAGGTGTATGTTGCAGCCGTTTTGTACTATAGAGAACATATAGAGGGTTCATGAGTTTTCTCCCACCAGTTAATATGTCACTTCCTATGGGGATTACAAAACCTTCACCCTCCGATCCGGTTGATCATCCCGACATGGAGTCTGTCCATCGTTCTGCAAGCTTTAACAAAGCTGCCATTTGAGCCCACGGCCTCTGCCGATCTCCGACTACTCTCATGGAAGACTGCCTTCCTAGTCACCATAGCATCAGCAAGACGGGCTAGTGAGCTTTGCGCCCTTTGTGTCGACCCCGCGTACCTCAGTTACCATAAAGATAAGGTGGTTCTTCGCACAGACCCGACATTCCTCCCTAAAGTGGCAACGGCGTTCCACCTTAATCGAGACATCATCCTGCCAGCATGCTTTCCAGCACCATCAACACCAATCGAGCGTTCCTTACGCTGCCTTGATGCGTGCAGATCAGTCCCGAACCGAGTCGTTCAGAAAAACCAAACATCTGTTCATCAAATTTTCTGAACATGATAAAGGAACACCAATAGGGACTCAGTGCCTATCGAAATGGATTGTGGAAATCATCCAGCTCTCGTACCAGTAAGCCAAACTGGACTTGCCTGTTGCTCCAAAGGGACATTCTACCAGAGCCGTGGCGACCTCATCTGCGCTACATGCAGGCATCCCAGTACAGGACGTATGTAAAGCTGCTACGTGGCCGACCCCGGGCACTTTTGCAAAGCACTGTCGTTTAGACGTCAGAGCCAGACAGGACTGCTCCTTTGGCCGTGCCGTTTTATCTACTGTTCTCCAGTAACGACACTGTCCCGCCTCCTGGTGGGTAAGCTTGCTAGTCACCCATATACGTGGATGCACAGAGACCACGGCGAAGACAGGCAGGTTGCTTACCTGTGACTGTCACCCATCGAGTGGTGATCTGTGCATTCACACAACCCACCCACCAGTCCCACTTCGGTGTCAGTGACTGGGTCGATATTTTTGCAATTTTACGGTACTCACATTTCCTTGCTGGTACCAGCTGGGGGTGAATGGGTGGTCTTCAGTTGGCTTGGACTCCACACATTTATACCAGGGGGGAGGAGGTGCAGCGTTCCCACCAAAAACCACTATAGCTATGAAATCTTTCCGAATACAGGCACTGCGTAGGCACAGCACCCATATATGTGTGAATGCACGGGTGACCACTCAAAGAACGACAGTTACAGGTAAGCAACCTGCCTTGCTTAGTGGTACCCAAGTGGGTTTGAACCCAGGGCAATTTCCACACAGTTGGCAAAGGAGTTGCCCTTGTGAGGCTGGCCATGCTAAATGATGCATCCTGCCCAGTCCATCCCACCTTAAACCTCATGCTTTGAAGCCTCCTCTGACGTCTCACCTAGCGAGAAAAAGTTAAGTCGGAACAGTTACGTCCTGAAACAGAAAGAGCAACATGCTCTGCAGACAGAAGAAGGTAAAGAGTGACCTTCCTCAACTGCCTGCGTGCCCCCCACCCCTGCACTCTGTTCTCTCTGTTCAAACAGTGGTCTTCTGCTGGGCTCACTTCCTTTTGTACCAGGCCCTTCTTTGCTAATCTTGCTCCTTCCGCATGCAGGGGAGCTTGGTGACAGTCCCCACTCCCTGCCGCGGCAGAAAAGGAGAGCACAATTAGAGCTGCCCCAGCAGGCCGGCCGGCCGGCCAGTGCAAGAGCCCAGCCTGAGTCCTGGTCTTTCCTTTGGCAGGTGAACAGAGTCCTTCCTCGCTCCAGCTTGGTTTACAACCTGTACGAGTACTCGGTGCCCGAGGACATGTATCAGGAGCACATCAATGAGATCAGCGCCAGCCTCTCTGCTCCAGACATCGAGGGGGTGTATGAGACCCAGGTAACTCCCTTGGGCTTGACTGGCCCAGGAAGCGGGGATTGCTGAGCCCAGGGCGGTGGCCACATTTATGAGGGCTGATGGCAGTCTGAAAGGGGCTCACAGACTTTCGGGGCCTGTGCGACTCTGGTCTCTAGTAGATGTTTCCTGAAGGTTTTTGTGTTGGTGTAAAACCCTCTTGAAGAGATGCAGGTGGCACAGTGGTTTAAACTGCTGTGCTGGTTGATCGAAAGGTCACCGGCTTGAATCTGCACAACAGGGTGAGCTCCTGTTGCTCTGTCCCAGCTCCTGCCAGCCTTGCAGTTCAAAAGCATGCAAATGCAAGTAGATGAAAAGGTGCCACTTCGGTGGGCAGGTAACAGTGTTCCATGCACTTCGGTGTTTAGTCATGCCGGCCACATGACCGCGGAGACTGTCTGCGGACAAACACTGGCTCCCTCGGCTAGAAAATGGAGATGATCACCGCCCCCACGAGTCAGGCATGACTGGACTTAATGTCAAGGGGAAACCTTTACTTTTCCCTTTAAAACCCTCTTTGGCCAGAAGGACCGGAAGGAGATCCATTGAGGGTGACTGGGAATTTGGGGCTGCTCCAGTCCTGAACTAAGTAGCCATTTTTGTGTAGTGCTTAAGGGCAGAACAATTGCTGCACTGTCATCTTGTTTTCATTTTCCATTCTAGCTGGTATCTATTCATAGTTGTACCCAGGTAGGAATCAGAAAAGGGCCTGGCTTTGTTTTACCGCCTTTTTCAAATGGGTCTTGTGGAATTATTCCTTAAGCATTGCTTCTGTTTTTACACATCTCGAATCTTCTGCCAATCTGGGCCATAAAAATCAATTCCTCTAGTGTTGAAGGGGTAGCAGCTAAAGCTGGGGAGCCTGAGCCAGACACACCTGTGATGCTCATCCTTTTCACCAGGTGCCATTACTGCTGCGGGCCTTAATTCGCCTGGGCTGTCTGTGCATGGTCAACAGGACTTTGGTGAAACACCTCACTGGCCGAGAGTCAGATACCTTCGATCTGGAACACCTTGAGATGCGTTCCTTGGCCCAGTTCAGCTACCTGGAGCCAGGTAAGGGGGCAGCACCCTGGGGCACTGCTGAGGGCAGGAGAGCCCACAGCTCTGAAGCCCTGCTCTGATGCAGGTCCCATTCTGTGTCCTCAGGGAGCATCCGGCACATCTACCTGTACCATCACGCCCAAGGCAACAAGGCACTGCTGGGTCTGTTCATCCCTTCTCAACGCAAAGCGTCTGTCTTCATATTGGACACGGTGAGTGCAGTGGCAGCAGGGGCTTGGGAGGGATGTTTGGGGCTCAGGGGAACCTGAGTGTCATTTTCCTTCTGTGGTGGGGCCAGTGTGGAAGCACCCAAATGTGCTGCTTTCTCTCCGGAGTCATGTTCTTGGGGGAGGGAGAGAGATTTCTGCAAGACTGTGCACAGCTCGGCCTGGCTGTTATTCCCTGTCTTGGCTGACATCCCTAAGAGTCCTCCTCTCTCCACCCCCATTCACACTGTCGCCACGAGTCAGTTTTCTCTTTGCTTATCACAAGTGCGAATGATGAGTAAGCGCTGTAAGGCCACTGAGAGCACTGAGGGGGGCGCCTTCTGATCCAGGGGCATCAGCACCTGCCCATCTGCAGCTGTGAAGCGGCGTTGGGAGCCTCTTTTGCCCCGTGGGCCTTGTGGGCCCCCTTGCTTCCCCTTCCACCAGTGCTGGGCAGCTCCCTTGTGCCCCTCCCGTTCGGTTCCTAAAAGGATCTCGGCACGATTTGTAGAAAGCAGGCGCAAGCTTCTGAAGCGCTTTGAGAATAAAAGGAATGCGACAGACCTAGACATTCGGGGCAGTGGTAACACGGTCTGGGAGGAGAGGGACCGGGCAGGGCCCCTCTGCAGGGGGTTGAGGCTGGGCACTTTGGGCTGCAGCATGGGGGGCATTTGGCTCTTGCCCAGTCAGCACCGGGGGTGCTGTGCTACGTGAGCACCCCTGGCACTTGGCTTGCTTGTGCAACACTTCCTGGTGGATTTTACCCAATGCTGTTCAGTGTTCCTGTGTCAAGCACCACAAAAGCCCGGATCCAGCCCTGCCACAGAGCATCCTGAAACGTTGTGCAGTGGAGGTGGCTCAGAAAAGGGGGCGGCGTGTTTGTCCACAAAAACCTTCAAGCCCCGAGGTGGGCAGCTACTCTTTGGGAGCTGCATTCAGGGGCAGGGACAACCTGCAAAATATACCAGCATGTTGTAGCTCGAAGCTCCTACTGCCCGTAACGAGACCTTCGGAGAAGCATTTCAGCTTTTTTAAATAGGGAGCAAACTGTGCAGAAGCCAGGGAAACCATGGGAACAGCGAGTGGAACAGCCCGGCTGTCTGGGAACCTGCAGCAGGCTGCACTGTTCTTCGCCGCCTGATGCTGGCTGCCCTCCCCTTGGTTTCTGGATTGTCTCTCTCGATGACTGCCAGGGTTCTCCAGGCCCCACAGCATGCAGTTGGGAGCCTGGGTCACCACAGCATGTGCCTTCCCCTTTACCCCTCCTCACCCAAGATCAGGCTTCCGGTGGTCCCTGCAGGTATGGCCTTTGGCCAGCAAGGGTGTCCCTCCTTCTCCCAGGTAACGTGATGTGTTGACATAGGTGCGGAGCAACCAGATGCCAAACCTCACCGGCATGTATGCTTCAGAGCACAGCGCCATGATGGAGAAGGTGGGCCCAGAACTGCTTCCGCCAGGGAAACACACCTTTGAAGTCCGAGCAGAGACGGACTGCAAGACGGTCTACAGGGCCATCCAGCGCCTCCTGCTGGGCTACAAGGTGATGACTGAGAATCCAGTGCCGACTCTTCCTCACTCAGCCCAGGGCTTCCCCGGAGACTCTGGAGGGGCTGGGTGTCCTGTCTGGCACCAGTGTCTGAGGACCTCCCGACCGTCCCCTTTTGCTGGGATGGAGCTTCACGGGTGGGAGGAGAGGAGGAGAGTGGCTGCTTGCCTTCGCAGTGGGGGGCTATAGCCTTTTCCCCTTCCCTCGGTGTCTCCTTAAAATCCTACCTTCTCCCCACATAGGACAAATGCAGATACTTGGGTGATTCGCCACCCCCCCAAAGGGGCAAACAGCAGCAGGGCAGGCTTTTATTCGAAGGGGTGGGCGGGCTGCTAATCCTACAGCCACTGCCTGGAAGGAAAAGGCTTCCCCCGTTAAAGGAGAAAAGTGAAACACAAGATTCAGTCACCACTTTCTCTAAAGGCTGGTGCATTCAGCTTGACCATGTGGTTGTGGGTTGTGCCAGTGTAGTGTGGTGGCTAGACTGGGAGCCTGGGGGGGTTCCCGCCCCCCCAGCCATGGAGCTCCCTCCATGGCTCTGGGCCTGTCACTGACGGCCAGCCTCACCTGCCTCCCGGGGTTGTGATTGATGCCTGTTGCCCTGGGCTCCCAAGAGGACAAGCATGCTGTAAATGTAGGAGGTGCTCCTCCGACTTGCTGGGCTGCCGAGAGGGCTCCTCTTGGACTTGGCAGGCCGCTCCAGGGCAAGGGAGGCGATGAGCTGCCCAAGACCCTGTTGCCCTGCTTTGCTGCTGCTCCACAGAGGGCAGACCCCCCGCTCCTGCCCCAGCATGTACCTTCCCCCTCTGCCCCGACCCCGAGAGAGACTCTGCCTTGTCTGTCCCAGGATGAGCGCAGGGGCCCCACCCTCATTGCCGTGCAGTCGAACTGGGACCTGAAGCGGCTGGCGGGTGGCATGCCAGTCCTGGAGGAGTTCCCGTTGGTCCCAGTCCAGGTCTCCGATGACATCAGCTACAGCGTCCTGGACTGGCAGCGCCACGCTGCCCGGCACATGATCCGCCGCTACCTCAGCTTGGACACGTGCCTGTCTCAGGCCTTTGACATGAGCAGGTGGGTGTGAGGACAGCCTCCCTCGGGGGGCAGCGGGTGTGGGAGTCAAGACAGTTGCAGCTGCTCCTGAAGTCCACATTCGCCGGGCGAGCGCTCCTCCTCGGGCCCCGAAGGCGGTGGCTGGAGCTGGTGCCTCGGAAGCGGTGGGCCGAGCCGGCAGGGGAGGCTCTTGGCCAGTCAAGAGGTGGCACTGCCTGCCAGGCCTGCAGGGGGCGGTGTGCCAAACGGGGCTCCAAACGGGCGCATCCAGGAGCGGTCGCTTGGGCCACGGCCGGTCCAAGCCTTGGAGATCCCTGCAGTGCGGCTTCACGTAATGCAGGGAAGTCTCAATGGAAAGGGGATGTGGTGCAGGTTCTGCACTGTCCGTCCTGCTCCCAGCTGGCATTCTGGGGCTGTCGCACCAACCCTCCTCCGCTTCTGCCCAGGTATTACCACATCCCCATCGGGAACCTCCCCGATGACATCTCCACCTTCGGCACAGACCTGTTCTTCTCCCGTCACCTCCACCGCCACAATCACCTTCTGTGGATCTCTCCCACGTCCCGCCCCGACCTGGGGGGCAAAGAGGCGGACGACAGTCGCCTAGTGATGGAGCTTGACGAGAGAGTCTCTGTCGAGATCAATCACCCAGGCTGCTATTCCACAGGTGAGCAGGGCCAGTTCCCCGAGCAAAGCAGACTTGGAGGAAGGAGTTGCTGCTTCTTGCTGGATTCTGGAATGTGCGCACTGTTTCTGACACTGAGGCCCAGGTATGGCCCAGCCATGGCCCAGCCCCGCATTCCTTGCTGCTTCTCAGACGTAGTCAAGGCCGGAGTAAGGCTGGGCGGAGGCTGCTTCAGCCCAGGCATTGTGGCGGGTCTCATCCCAATACCAGGCTTCTGGCTGCTGAGGAAAGTTGGACTGGCAAAGCGGCATCTGCGTAACCCTCAGACTGTTGCAAGCAGCGTATTGGGGCCTGCCACCCATCAGCAAGTGCATCTTCTTTGAAGTCCCCGGGTGCAGCGTGCTTTTTTGGCGCGCAAGTCAGCAACTGCCCCAATCCGGTTGTCTTCCGGTCTCCATGAAGGAGCATCTTTATTGGATGCGGTTTTGAGGTTTCTTAAATGGTCATATGCAGAAGGGCTCTGGGCCACAAGTCAGACCAGTGGTGGTGTGGGAGAGACAGAGCTGATTGGCGTGAGACCAGCTGGTAGCCAGTGTCAAACTGGCAGCCGTTGCTTCCCTTTGGGAAGCCAGCAAGAGGATTTAGCCGCAGAGAGAGAGAGAGAGAGCTGCACACGAGAAAGGGCATTCCCGGTCTTGTCTCAGCTCTCCTTCGGGTGGGGATTGACCTTGCACGTTTTGACCATCGAAGTGGACGTAGAAAGCGCCCCCTTCCCATCCCTGAGCCCAGGCTGCTCGGTCGTTTCTGCAGTCTGTGTGGAACTGGACCTCCAGAGCCTTGCTGTGAACACCATCTTGCAGTCCCACCACATCAACGACATGGAAGGGGCCTCCAGCATGTGCATCAGCTTCGACGTGATCCAGCAGGCATCGCTGGAGGACATGGTCACTGGGAACCAGGCAGCCAGCGCCCCGGCCAGCTACGACGAAGCGGCCCTTTGCTCCAACACTTTCAGGTCTGGCTTGCAGGGCGGCTTTCTGGGGCTGCCGCGCTTCCCCGGCCGCCCCGTCGGCGTGTCGGAGCCAAAGGGGCTCCTTCCATCTCTCGCCACGCCACAAGTCTCTCGTGTTCCCGTGCAGGGTCCTGAAGAGTGTGGTGGTGGGCTGGGTGAAGGAGATCACGCAGTACCACAACGTCTATGCTGACAACCAGGTGATCCATTTCTACCGCTGGCTGCGCTCCCCAACATCGCTTCTCCACGACCCTGCCCTGCACCGCATGCTGCACAACATGATGAAGAAGCTCTTCCTTCAGTGAGTGCAGGCGGACGGATGCGTGAAGGGCGGGGGGGGGGGGCACGTGCTCCTGCGTCATCCTGTGCCGTGCGAGACGGTTCGAGGGAGGCGAAGGGGCGGTGGGTCATCAGGACGTAGGCGACATCCTAAGCGAGCAAGGAGGTTAGACTCCATCGAAGAGGACATGGGCCAGAACACCGAATCCCAGAATAGGAGAGTTGGAAGGGGCCATGGAGGCCACCGAGTCCAACCCCCTGCTGGTGCAGGACACCAGTGTCACCACCCCGCTTAGGGGGCTGCCCAGTTTCCTTTTGAATGCCGCCAGTGTGGGAGCGCCCCGCACCCCTCCAGGCAGCTGGTCCCACTGTCGTATTGCTCCGGCAGTGAGGAAGCTCTCCCTGATGTCCAGCCTGAATCTGGGTTGTTGCGACTTGAGCGGATTATTCCGAGTCCTGTGCTCTGGCATCTGACCTTCCTCTTTGGTCAGGCCACCAGTTGGATGGCTGCGTTCTTGGACGTCACCAGCGGGCCAGTGCAGAAAGCAGACAGACTATGTAATTGGAGGCTGGAGGTGGAGAGCTTGGGCTAATGATGCCAACGCAGGCCCAGAGCAGAAGCAGATGGCGGTTGTGCCCATGAACTTTTTAATGTCACAAGTTAGGATAAAGATGGAAAAGAGCACTCGCCGAGGTGCAGTTCCAGTTGCATATTGGCCAGATCTCTGGCCGGGATGGGCTGGAAGTACCCCGTGGCACGTTGCCGCGCGGCCCCTCCCTGACTGTCGCCCCCTCCCCACTCTTCCTGCCTCAGACTGGTGGCGGAGTTCAAGCGCCTCGGCTCACTGGTGGTTTACGCCAACTTCAGCCGCGTCATCCTGTGCACCAAGAAGCGCCGCATCGAGGATGCCCTCGCCTACGTGGACTACATCACCAGCAGGTGTGCCTGGCGGGTGCAGCGCGTTGAGGGCCTCTGCCAGAGCCCCGCCGCCCCGCAGGCTGTTCCCTTGCCCAGAAGGAGCAGTCCCGATTCTTTGCCCACTGGCAGCTAGCCGAAGGGCAGAGCCGCGAGCATGTCAGCGCAGCCCCGGCGGAGCCTGTTTAGTACTCCAGAGCCCTTGCACCTGCTCCAGAGCCTCGCAGGGGCACCAGTCCCTTTCCGGGCAGCACCGCTGGGGTTTCTAGGGGGAGGTCCCCGCTTGGTGGCCGAGCACCCTCCCGTTGCGCGGCGTCCCGGGATCAGTCCCCATATCTCAAAGCAGGGCTGTGCCTGAGTGCCTGCAGAGCTGCTGCCGGCCCGGGCAAGAACCACTGGGCTCGGTGGAGCACGCCTGGCTCCACATACGGCAACCAGGCACTGAGTGGCGCCGGATCGGAGCAGAAGCGGAGCTTGGCGCCCGAGTGGCTCTTTGGTGTGTCCAGAGCAGCCTCCTCCCACCGTCGCCCTCTGGTTGTTCTGGGCAACGCCCAGCAGCCCCAGTGAGTGGTCAGGCATCCCGGGAGTTGTCGTGGAAGGTGCAGTCGTGGGGGACCCACAGTGCCACACTCCCGTTCTCAGTCTGTGCGGCACACAAAAGGCCGGGATTATCCTAAAAGTGCGACCTGAAATAACCTTTTGCAGGACAGAGCAGGTTTCCTCAGGATTTGCCGGCCATTTGCTCTTGCCTGATCCTCTGTTCCAGTCTGCCTCCCACCCGGGTGTTTGATCCCCTCCCCTGCAACAGTTTGTCATAACTCCTGCGCACGTGCGGTCCTCAGAGAGCTGCTTGGGGTTCCTGCCCGCAGGGTTATTTCTTAGGATCATTTGGTGTTTCTGCTAACCTCGCCCGCCCCCCCTTTCTCCCCGCTGCTTCTGCGGTTCCCCCCCCCCCCCCCCCCCCCCCCCCCCCCCCGCAAGGCTTCTGGCACCTCCCTCCCATGTGCGGATTCTGCCCTTTCAGCTCTGTGAGTGAAGGTGCTCGTTGCTGAACTTCTGAAGCAGCGGCGATATACTGGGGGCGAGGGTGGCAGCAGGGCCCGTCCCCATTGAAAAGGGTTCCCTCCCCCATGCCATCCTCCTGCCTGCTCGCCGTGGCTGCAGACCGTGTCCTGCCACTGGCTGGTGGGCGTGGGACAGCAGGGCTTTCTCAGCCGTGGCACCCAGACTCTGACAGCCTGTTGGCCAATGTCCGGGTGATGCTTGGGTGCAAAGGAGGTGCCTTGGCAACTGGAGATGACGGACCCTTGTTTCCCTTGGCCTTTTGCTCAATGACATTTCTTCATTTCTGCAGATGATCATTTTGCTTTTGTTTGTTACATCTTGTTTTTTTCCTTTCAAGTTGCGCTCATTAGCTGCCACTCATTAGGGGCTCCCTAATTAAAAGCAGGACAGCTTTTAATGACTCAAACAATGGTGATACCAGGACTTCTGAGCATGAACTTGTCGCTGCTCTTCATTGTGCAGTGCCTTGGGGATGGGAGATGGACTTTCATCCACTGAAGCCTTTTATTGGAAGGAAGACTTTGCTTACTGTTGGGTTCTAATGAGGGCTCCTGGAGTAGCTGTCATTCTTTCTCTTCCAGCATCCATTCAAAAGAAATCTTCCACTCTTTGACCATTTCCTTCTCGCGCTGCTGGGAGTTCTTGCTTTGGATGGACCCAGCCAATTACGGTGGGATCAGAGGGAAGGTTCCTTCCCGGGTCCACTACGGGCAGGTGAGAGACCAGCAGAGAAGCGGCTTTATCAGCTCTTCACCCCCGGATGGGCAGGGAGTGGGCCGTCTTCTCTGCACGGCTCTGTCTGCAGGGTGAAGCAGCACCCATCCTTCCGTAGCTCAGAAGAGACTTCTGATGTTGGAAGCTTTGGAATGGAGAGGAGGTGATGGCGGGTTTCATGTGGGCTGCAGTTCTGACGTTGAATCTCCGTTACAGGAGACCAATAGTAAAGAGGCAGCAGATGTAGAAGAGAGTGAAGGAGAGGAGGAGGAGGAGGAGGAAGAGAACAAGGAAGATGGAGTGGGCGAAGGTGACATAGAGGAGCTGCTGGAAAACAACTGGAATGTCATGCAGTATCTGCCCCAGGCAGCCTCCTGTCAAAATTATTTCCTCATGATTGTGTCTGGTAAGCTGGAGAGTTTTTCATCAAGACCCCAGTACCTGAGGCTAAATTCTCACCTCCTCCTACACAGATGGCTCCAAATGCTGAGCCTTCTTAGTGTTGCTCACGAACTGTCTTGGATTCCATTAGTCTCTGCACTTTCCATAAGGCTGGTCAGAGCCAAGAGCTCTCAGCCAGAAGAAAGCACTACTGGTGACAGAGGAGGCCATGCTTGACCATTCTGCCACACAGACCAGGAGCCTGGAGCTTCCTGAGGTTCCAGGTTCCACCTTTACAAAACCTCCCCGCCCCACTGTCCATTCTGAGGTCAGAGACCGCAGTGCCCCCCTCCCAGCATCAAAGCCCTCGCTCTTGTCTTAGATCGAAGGTGGCAGCAGGGGGAGGAGGCGCAGCTGCCGTCGGGACAGTGGCAGCACTCTGAGCGTGGGCACGAGCGCTTCTGCGCGGCCCACCTGCCTCCTTTCCCTAATGGGCCCCTTTCGTTTTTGCGTCAGAGAAGCAAAGGGGATTCAGCCCATGTGTTCTCACACCTGGCCGCCTTTCCCCATCACAGGAAGGAGAAGGCCATGTGGGGGATTGGGGGCAGGGCTCTGATGGAGGAGGGACGGGGACTTGGCTGCTTGGCCTTGCCGCACGCACAGCTGTGGCAGCGGGAGGATCAAAACTTGTCCCGCAGCCCTGAAGCAGAGAGTGGAGTGGGGGGAGAGGCAGAGCTCCCTGCCAGCAGAGTTTCCAGAAGATGGGCCGCTGCTCACGCCTTCAACATCCTGCTCTCCCTTCCCCAGCCTACATTGTAGCCGTGTACCATAGCATGAAAGAGGAAATGCAGCGGAATGGCCCTGGAAGCACCCCCATCAAGAGGCGAACGAACAGCCAGGTTTCCCAGGAGCCTGTGAAAGAGACGGGGGCCATGCCTGGTGAGTGGCCCAGGGCTTCTCTCTCCAGCCCTGCCCCTCTTGGAGAGCCAGCGTGGTCCGGAGGAGAGCTGGCAAACCCGGCTCACGGCTCTTCTCTGCTGGCTCGGCCACAGTCTAAGTAGGTGACATGCCGCTCGCTTCTCTCTCCCTCTCCCTCTCAGGCATGATTGCCTTCTCCCAGGAGTACGTCTCCAATGAGCTTACCCAAAGCGTCTTCACCATCACCCAGAAGATCCAGAAGAAGGTGAGTGGCTCTCGACGTACCACGGAGCCCTCTGAGATGTTCCCTGCCCTGCCCGGCTCCTACCTGATGCTCAACAACCCGGCACTGGAGTTTGTGAAATACGTCTGTAAGGTGAGTTAACCAGCTGTGCTGGGCTGCATAGAAGGGTGGGTGGGGCCATGGCTGTGACGTCACAGTGGCAGAGGAGCTATGAGGTCACAATGTGTCCCTTCCCTCCTTCCACCTTTGCCAGATACTGTCCCTGGACAACAACATCACCAACCAGGTGAGCAAGCTGAAGAGGGACCTGCTTCGCCTAATCGATGTAGGTGAATTCTCAGAGGAGGCCCAGTTCCGGGATCCCTGCCGCTCCCACGTCCTCCCAGAGATGATCTGCAGGAACTGCAACCTGTGCAGAGACTTGGACCTCTGCAAGGGCCCTGTCCTCGCTCAGGTACCTGTCCCGGCAGAAGGCGCCCGCCTCCCTCCCCCTCCCCCCTTGACCTCGCTTTATAGAAGTGAGGCCTCGGGCTGCCTCTCTCTCCTGTGTGCGGCAGCCTTTCAAGTGCCGGAAAAGGCCGTCCGTCTCCCCTCAGGCTTCTCTTCTTGAGGCTAAACATGCCCAGTTCTTTCGATCTCTCCCTCATCAGGGCTTTGCTTCCAGTCCCCGGATCATCTTTGTTGCCTCCTCTGAGCCCTTTCCAGCTCATCTGCATCTTTCCTGCACTGTGGTGCCCAGAACTGGACACAATAATCCAGATGGGGCCTAAGAAGAGGGGAACTAGTACTTCACAGAATTTGGAAGTGAAGCTTCTATTAATGAAGCCCCAAATTGCATTTGCCCTTTTTGCAGCCACATGGGATTGTTGACTCGTATTCAGCTTGTGATCTACAACAGTCCCCTGACCCTTCTCATTGCAATACTGTTGAGCCGAGCATTCCCATCTGGTAGCTGCACGTTTGGTTCCCTTTTCCGAGGTGCAGAACGTGGCATTTGTCCCTCCGGAATTTCATTCTTTTGCTTTCAGCCCAGCGCTCCCACCTATCAAGTCTACCTTGGATCTTCTTTCTGTCCTCCGCAGCATTAGTTATCTCATCCGATTCTGTGTCATTGCAAATCTGATCAGCGTTGCCTGCACTTCCTCATCTAGCTCTTTAACGACTATGTTGAGGAGCACCTGGCCCAGGCCTGAGCCCTGCGCTGTCCCGCTTGTTACCTCTCCCCAGTCGAGGAGGCGCCATCGATGAGCACTTTTTGAGTGCGATTCTGTAGGCGACTGTGGATCCGCCTGATCGTTGTTCCATCAAGCCCACTTTTTGCTAGTTTGCTCACCAGGACATCCTGAGGCAGCGTGTCGAAACTTTGCTGAAGGCAAGATAGTTTATGTCCACAGCATCCCCGTGGTCCACCTGGGAGGTCACTGTATCAAAAAGTATTATCAGTTGGTCAGGATTTGCTTTTGACAAATCTGTGTTGGTTTCTAATTAATAATTGTATTGTTTTCAATGTATTACAGACTGCCTGCTCTATCATCTGCCCCAGAATTTTCTGAGGGATTGATGTCAGACTGACTGGCCTGTAGTTCCAGGCTTCTCCTTTTTGTCCCTTTTGAAGATGGGGTATCAGTCTTCTTTCAGTCATCTGGCACTTAGCCAGTCTTTCATTTCTCCAAGACAATAAGCAGTGGCTCTTGGGGTTCTTCTTGCACTTCCTTTGTTAGTCTCGGATGGTGTTCATAAGGCCCTGAACATTTGAACTTAGTCAGGTGTTCTTTGATATTTGCCGATCAGTCGCAGGCTTCAGTCCTGCCCTTTCAGCTGGCAGGTGATAGAAGGGGGAAGGCCCAGCCACAGGAGGAACTGGACACGTCTCCCTCTCCGTTCTCTCCCAGTAGTTGAGCCACCCTTTCTCCCCCTGTCTCTCTCCATGCGTGTATGTGACGCGGGCTTCCTCACTGCCTTAAGCACCCCGGTGAACCTCCTTGCCTCATTCTCGGCCTCAGCCTTCCTGGCGCTGTCCCTGGCATCCTGTGCTACCTGCTCGCACTCTTCCTTTGTAGCCGTGCCTTCCTTCCACTTCTGATGTGTGTCCTTTTTTGTTTTCAGGCAATCTCTTAAGCTTTTTCTGAAACCACACTAGCTTCTTTTGTTTTCAGCCTCTTTTTCTTGATGAAACTACCTGTAATTGCTCTTCTAGGATTTGCTTTTTTAAAAACTTCCCACCCACCTTGGACTCCTATTCACATTGGTGTTGCATGCTATGGTGCCTTATTTATCATTGTTCTGAGTTTACTAAAATTGACTTTCCTAGAATCCGCTTGGTTACAATTGGCTTTTGTTTCCTTTAGAATCAAGAATTCAGGTATGTCGTGGTCCATTTCCCCATAGCTGCCTCTTGATTCACTAGGCCATCCCTTTGGATCAGAACCAAGCCAGGGATGGCTGATCTTCTAGTGCCTGCCTCATTCTTTGATAGAGTCGCAACTTAAGTCAGGAATTTCATGGAGGGGCCGTGTTTGTTTCCTGATGGATCTTGGGGAAATTTAAGTCCCTTATGACTTCATCCTTCTCCTTGAGACACTGGAAATTTCCTTTTCAAGTGTCTTCTCCAGGCGGTTGGTAGCAGACCAACATGTTCCTTTTATTCTTTGCTCCGTTTATTTCAATGCACATGTTCTCGGTCAGACTACTAAGCTCATCCTTCGGTATGTATTCAAGTACATGCAGAGACAGGCATTTTTAAGACGCAGTGTGTCTCTGCTTCCTTCTCTGCTCCTCCTTCCTTCAATATGTCCCTCACGTGCCAAATTTCAGCAGGGAGTCGTCCCACCAAGGTTCGGTTACGCTTGTCAAGCCACACTCTCGCTCCCGCACAAGAGCCCGAGTCCATGCTGTTTGCTTCTTGTACACGGACCATTGGCACCGGGACCCTGCAGAGCACGTGCGTAACAGGCCGGCTTCTGCCTACGCGTTTGGATGACCGTTGCTGTGCTGCTGGGACTCCTCCCTCCATCGTGGCCCATGCGCTTTTTCCATTGTTACCCCGGGTTTCCTTCTCCCTCCCCTGTAGGGCTGAAGTCCGACGCCCAGTCCTCCTCTCCCCGGTGTTCTAGCACCCCCGTCTTGACCTGAGCCAGGGCTCCCTCTGGTTCAGAACAATGCTTAGGTGCCGGCTTCCACATGTGTCGCATCTGCTCTGCCTTGGTCTCCCAGGATCGAGACCAAGGCTTCCCCATGGGAGAGGCGGCCACATTCCAGGGACCAGGCACTGGCAGCCCGGGCTGATGGTGGCTCTCCAGATCTTCCTCCCCAGTTGCTGCCTGGTTCCTTCTCAGTGGAAGTGCCAGAGGCTGAATCGCGCACGTCCTTCCCAGAGCTTCCTCTCAGCCTTCCCGGCCCGGAGCCCACTCAGCACTGTCTCTTCCCCCATCGCTTCCAGGATGGATCCGTGCTGCCGAACTGGGTGTGCTCCAACTGCCAAGCCCAGTATGACTCGGATGCCATAGAGATGGCCCTGGTGGAAGCCCTGCAGAAAAAGCTGATGGCCTTCACCCTTCAGGACCTGGTAAGGAGGGGCGGCACCGTGGCCGGCTTCCGAGCCCCGCCGGCTCCTCAGGCTGGGCGAGCGCAGTTGCAGCCCTTTCTCAGCCACATAGTTCCTGATCAGATAGCAGTGGCACGCAAGCTAGCCCATGGCGAGGCAAAGGGCCCTTTCTGGCTCGGCAGAGATGGAGGCTTCGCAGCAGGAACGCATGTTTCAGCACTCCTGCCACACTGCTTGTGTCAGTTGCTCCGTACAGAAAACCGGTACGTCGAGAAGCTTATGGTAGAATGTCATGCCCACTTTCCTGCGTGAAGAGTGTGCAGCCAGAAGTGCGCAAAGAGAGGTGACCGGAGCAGGCCTGATCGTTCTCCCCTCGGCTCACCCCCTTTTTCCACCTTAGGTGGCCCGACTCACTCGTTGTGGGTGTGTGTTTCTCAGACAGTTGCCACTGCACCCCCAGTTTGGTCCTGCGGTTTTGGTGGGACGTCGCCAGCATTTGGCGTGGCGTGTGGGGAGCGGCCTTCCAGCGCACCGAGCGCGTTCCTCACAGTGGGCCCTCACACAGCCTGTGGCGCTTTCAGCAGGCAGGGGCCCGATCCTAAAGATCTCTTGCCTTTCAGATTTGCCAGAAGTGCAAAGGCATCAAGGAGACCCACATGCCCATCTACTGCAGCTGCGCCGGCAGCTTTGACCTCCTGTTGCCCACCAAGGTGCGTGCTTGCCCTTCAGAGCCTGCCTTCCATGGGTCTGAGACTTGCGCAGAGCCAGTCCTCCCACCCTCCCTCCCTCCTTCCAGCTCCATGTTTAAGGAAGACCCATCTCCCTTTTGTGGTGTCTGCCTTTATTCCTCCACAGACCTTCCTGGAGCACCTGAAAGTCTTCCAGAGCATTGCCCATCACTATCACATGCCCCACCTGCTGGAGAACATCTCGTGGCTGCTGCAGATGAACCCTCGGCTTCTCTGGTAAGTGCCCTCTTGCCCAGAGGGGCACAGTTCCTACGCCACGGGGCCAGCCACGACTGCTTTCCAAGTTTCACCGCCTCAGTACCCCTGCGATGGCCTCTCACCTGAGCTGCTTTCAGGGCCAGCCTGCAGTTTGTCTTCGCCCTGGGAAAAACCATCGAGAGGCGCCCGGTTTGCTTCATGCCACACAGAAGCGCATGCAGAGGTGTGGTGCCTCACTGTGAGCGACTCGTACGAGGTCAGACTCAGAGTGACTTGTCTTCCAGATTCGGCCAGGGAGCTGGTCAACAAGCAAGCCCGCTTCCTGGCCCCGTCTTTTGCTGGACTGTGGGAGCTCAGCAGAACAAAAGCCTTGGATTATGGGGCAGCTCATTGCCCAGATTTTAACCTATTCTTAGTTTTAATTTTATGCTGTAAATAAACCCTTTTCTTTACATCAGCAGCTACCCATGTATTTGGCACGTTCACCTTCGCATGTGCCTCTCGTTCCCGCGCTCCTCTCCCACGGTCGGCCGCAGGCTGCACCCACTTTCCCCTGAGGCCACAGCTTGGTCGACCCGCCGTTGCCAGCTGCTGGTCCCCAGGAACACACTGGCGCATCGGTGGAGCACCGCCTGAGGCTTCCCCTCCGCCTCCTCTGGTTGCAGCTACACTGAGGTCGAGCAGGCGGTTGTTTTGCAGACTTCGGAAAAGCTCCCTCTCCCTCTCCCTCTCCCTGCACACACCTGCCGTGGGCACCCAGGGGGCACCTGCGATCTTACTGGGCTTTGATGTGTCCAGCAGCCCCCGTCTCTGAGAAGGCATCTGCCGCTGGAGATGCCTTCTCCATGGTCTTGCTGCCGTAGCAGAAGCCAAGAGCAGAAAAACACCCAGGAGAGAGTCGGGCTGCCCTCACGTCTGGAGAAGGCTGCCCCCAGGCTGCGAAAGGGCTGGTGCGGCTGCAGGAGGCCCTGCAGTGGGGCTCAGGTGGAGTTGCTGCATCCCTGTTTCCGTCCCACACCCCACGCCGGTGTGTGTCCAGCCCGCTTTCCCCCAGCCTTTCTGTGGGGGAGGGATAGGCACCGCCTGCTGGAGCTCCCTGGAAGACGAGGCCCTCGGAGATGCTTTCCTTTGCTCATGCAGAAATGGTGCTTGCTCCTGACAGGGATCCTGGAGCAGTGGAGGAGCAGGAGGAAGCGAGGGGCCAGGCCCACCTCCCAAGTCGCCAACGGCACGGCTGCCATCAGTGGCAGAGGAGGATGGAGGGAACTGGACAGAAAGGCTGGCCTGCGCAGCCGAAGCGCCGTGCGGCCTTCCTGCAGCCACCTGCCTTGGTCGCTTTCCCACGTGGGCAAGCAGGGACCTGGCCGGGGCTGGCCGGCTGGCTGCAGGGGGGCCTCAAGGAGCCAGTGGGTCCCCCTTCTTGTTTGTGCCCTGCGCCTGCGACTCCTGGAACCTTTGGCCCCAGCCAGGGTGCCGGTCGACCCAGCCGCCTGCCCTGCACCTGCCGCCCCACCGAAGCTTCTCTGGAGCTCGAAGCTTCCCTCGTTAACTAGGGAGGGGCCTGTTGGTCCAGGGTTTGGCTGCCCCCGGGCCTAGCCCGCTACCCCAGTGGGGCTCCCGCCAGCAGGACGGGGGACGGCACTACCCTCCCTCTCGGCTTCCCAGCTGCTGGCGCCCGTTGGCAGGCTGCCTTCCACACCGGAGGTAACGTATGGCCGCCGTGACCAGTAGCCATCGATGGCCTTGCCTTCCATGAATGTGTCCAGCGCCTTTTACAGTTGTCCAAAGGGGTGGCAGCAAATTCCGTAGTTCAGCTCTGCTCCCATCCTACTCTCCAGAATCTCCCACCTTTCAGCTCCGAGAGGGGACCTCTCTGGATGCTAGAAATACGGGGGAGAGGCACCATCCCTCTGTCTGCTTCCTGGCAGGCCATTAGCCTTTCCCACAGGGCCAGTGCTGCGGCCCCTGAACTTCTCCCCAGGCACCGCCTTCTGCCTGCCTCCATCTGTGGGGCTCAGCAGCAGTGGCCTCCCCCCTGCGGAAGGCACCGCAGCTTGTCGGGGGGGGGGCACATGAGGGGCCTCGCCACCAGCCCTTTTAGACGGGAATCGATAAGCCTCCCCTTTCAGGCTGGAGAGTCTTAGATTGCCGGATCCCTTTGGGGAAACTCATTAGAGCGGGGAAGCAGTCTGATCCAATAACAGGCACTCCTCCGGTCTGCCTGGCCGCCCCACCCACCCCAGAAGCATCTGGAGAGAAGGCGCGGGCGCGCAAGCTGCCCTCTGCAGCGGGAGCGGCCCGTGGGAAAGGACCACCTCGAGAGACGGCGGCTGCGTCCATCGCCAGCACGCCGCAGTCCGGGCTTCCTCCTCCTCTTACTCTGAGGAACACGGAAGGCACACTGCCCTCCCGAGTGCCTTCGAGCAGCTGGTTGTGATGGGACCGGCACACCCTTTCTTGCATGAGGATGTATTTTGAAGAGGAAGAAGAAGAAGAGAGAGGAGGGCAGAAGATGAAGAAGAAGAAGAGAGCAACCCAGACTTAACAGACCCAAGGAAAATCTGGCAGGCCTGCTTTTTCTCACTTGCCTCTGCCAAATTCTGCCCAGCCTCCTTCAGAACACGTCTGATTAGGAAGTGCGTCTTCTGTCACAGGTTTCGCTTGAGCCTGAAGACAGGGCTGCAGCTACTGCCCCACTCCTGTTTTCTTTCCCAAACGAACTGTGTCCCTTTTTCTATCACAAATGCCTTTTCTTCCTTCGGTCAGTGGCAGCTGCCGGACGTGGTGCCTGGAGATCCCACCCGCTGACTCGCGGGGCGCTCGCAGCCTCCAATTCCTCGGCCTGGAACGGTGCTGCCGCCCGCAAGCCCTGCAACTGAGGGGGCATTCCGGGCGGCTGCCGCGCTCCCCTTCCCTTAGGGGCTGGGGAAGGGGAAATGCGCCGCGACGTGCGGGCGCCAAAGGGCCGGGCAATCAGATTAGCAGCAGCCGCATGACATCGGCCATCTCGGTTGTTTCCAAATGCTCTGTGAGATTGGCTGCACATGCTCAGCAGGCGCTCGCCAGAGCTGGGCCGGCCACCTGGGGTGCCTAGCCAGTGGGAGCGCAGCTGAGCACGCCCAGTATACTGGGGGGCTTGGGCAGCATACCCAGTTGCCTTGTAGGTTGGGAATCCCAAGGGGAGAGCAGGAGCTGGGTCCAGCTGGGCCGTGCCTGCACTGCAGCCTGTTTTGAAAGCAGCGGCTCTGACGCTCCCACGCAAGTCAGAGCACAGGAAGGCCTGGAACTCCCAGCAAACCTCAGCCATAGGGTACGGCTGCATACAAAAGCATCTTAAATGTCTGGGCTGGCTTAAAAAAAAACAAACCTGACACCAAATGCTTTGCAGGCTTCACAACAGCTGAGCAACTCCGGAAAGAATGTTTCTTACCCCGGGTGTCACCACCCAGGGGACCCTTCCCAGCTGTCACTGCCTTCCCTTCCCAGGAGGGAGGTCTCTGTTGATCTCAATGCTGGGTCACTTTCATAGGGAAGGAGGGGAACCTCCGAGTAAAGGAGGGGATTTTGGTGGGTGCCCCGCATCATGAAGGGGCCGGGGAAGCTATACCAGCCTGGCATCCTTGGATCCCTATGGAGAGTACCAGGGACTCGTCCCCTGCCTTGGCTTTCTTTCCCGGGCTGACTGAAAGCTGCTGCTGCATTTCTTGGCCCCGTGAGGCTGCGTTGAACCATGCTACAACTGTGTATGTTGGGGACCATCCCGTGGCGAGGCTCCCTGCTTTCTGCAGGGGAGCCGCGCTAAACCAGCATTTCTCCACAACACAAAAGCCAAAGCTGCTCTTTCTGAATTAAAACTGAAGGTGCACCTTTCGGGCAGGAGAAACGACCCCACTCTTGGGTGGATCCCACCGCTGGTCTTTCTCTGCAGACGAGCCAGCTGCCCTTCACGTGGCACTGCAGACATTTTTCCGTGGTTCTGGGCCAGGAGTGAGAGAGTCCGCCGGCCGGTTAACTCACCCGGGGACTCTTGGCACAGAAGAGCTGAGTGGTGCAGTGATCTAGTGGACAGGTGCCTTTTGTTGGGGGGGGGCGGGGTTGCTTTGGTTGCAAGTCAGCCATCAGAGCTGCTTTTCTCACAACACCCGCCTTGGGGGCGCCTCCTGTCAGCAAAAACCCTTGCTCCAGCTGGTGCTTGCTTTTACAGTACAATGCTTGGTAACCCCTCAGTCAAGGGGGGTGATGTTTGGCCCTCCAGGTGTTTCAGCCAACTCCCCACCAGCCAGGGGTGAGCTGCAAGATGGGGCACTGAACAAGAAGCTAAGCTGTGGCCAGCAACGCTTTCGCCAGCCTAGGTGGGCTGCTTCACCTGGCGTGGTCTCCCATCTGCGGCAGGCCGCCAGGGGGCGGGGGGCATCCAGGTGCAGTGGGGTGTCCAGTAGTAGCCGCTGCTCCTGGGGAAAGTTTGCTTGAGCTCAGTCAACCGCCCGCTCCTTTCAGACTTGTACTCCAGAGCTGCCGTCGGCCTCACTTTCCACTCCCTAGTTTTGTAACGGGCCAGAAAGAGGCTGGGTTATCGGGGGTTAGTTCTGCACAGTAGGTTCTGCCCCTCTCATGCAATTCACGTGGGAATCTGGGATGCTGAGAGAGACAGATTCCAGAGCATTGCAATGAAATGGAGACGAGTCTCCTGGCCCCTTAATGGCAGGCTAATTTTATTTTGTGGTGTGAGATTTACTGGGAAGAGGTTGCTGCATCTGATGCACCAGCAGTCCTGGCAAATGGGCCGGAAACGGGGGGGGGGGGCGTTGGAGTCTCAGGGAGGGAGGGGAGCCTTTGTGTCTGCCGCTGAGGAAGCCCGGGCACAGGGGTTGGCGGCACTGAGTTCCATGCTGGGAGCCCCCTCTGGGTGCCTGGACACCTGGGCAGAAGTGGAGAGAAGAGGCGGTTAGAGAGCGTCGAGCTCCGCGTGCAAGGAGAGTTTCCGTCTGCTTTTTGGGAACAGGCTGCTGGGATTGGGGAGGCAAGAAGTAAAACGCTCTTGCAGCCTCTTGTTGCCGCACCCGCAGTGCTGCAGCCTGGCGTCCCTTTGCGGCAGACTCGGGTGCAGCGCGGACTGGTCATGTGGTACATACTGTTGAAAAACATTTTGCAGGAGGAGAGGTGTTTGTTCACCTTGGTTTTACCTTAAATACAATACGCTAAAGTTCCCCTGCATCCCGTCAAGCAAGGTGCGCTTCCCTGCCTCCAGCGGGAAAATGCCGCCTGAGCTGGGCTGGAATGGCGCTCTTGCTTTTTGTTCTTCTTGCTGGGCGAGATCTGCCAGGGAAGGGGGCACCCCGGAACGGGGCATGGCCCGGCCCCCCCAGCGCAAAGCGCAGGCACATCGAACCCAGGGGTGGGGCAGCGCTTCTGAAGCCAGGCCCCCGGACCGTCCTGGGCAATGCTGGGATTTCCCAGAAGCTGCTCGACGGCGCGTCCTCCGTGGCCACCCTTCCGCGATGGCTGGCCGCAGTGCTTCCTGCGATTTGCGGGCAAAGGCTGCGTTGAGTGTTCTCGGATGCATTTGCAGGACAGAGCAGGGACACGGACCGGCCAAGAAGCCAAGCCAAACCCCTCTGTTGCCCAGGCAGCCCAATCTCCTTCCCACAGAGAGTTGAGGGGGGGTCAGCCTCAGGTTCCCCATTCTGAAAGGTGGAACTGCCCCACCTGAGGCTTTGCAACCGGTAGGAAGAACTCCAAGCTGCCCAGCCCGGCCCCTTCAGGCACCGGGACATGGCCCCAGCAGCTTCTCTGAAATGGCATCCAGCCCCTGGGGTGAAAGGGCAGGCAGTCGGGCTTCCTGCAGCAGCTTCTGCACTTGTTTTTGAGGGCTCTGCTCTGGCCAACAAATTGACGCGAGAAGTTTGCCAAGCCTGGAGTGATGGGTTCAAGCTGTATGCTTGGACCTTTTCCCATGCATGCTGCCTCAGCAGCTCAGGTCCTCTGGGGACAATCTTTTGTAATGTGAACTACCCAGAGGGCATCTTCAGCGGTTGCTCTGCCCGGAAAGACACATCTGATTTCCCAAAGTCCCGCCTTTAAGAGGGAGTTAAAAAGGGACCTCCTCCGACAGGCCTTCCTGGATTAGTTACTCCAGCGTTTTATTTCCTATGTTGTCTTAGTCAATATCACTCACTGTTGGCTTTAATACTTGTAAACCACTAGGAGTCTATTCGAAAAGGGTGGTATGTAATTACGAAGATAAATGACTCCTGCCCTTCACAATTGTGGGCCAGGACACAATTTCTGCCAAGATGTGTACCAACCTGGCACCCTCCAGATGTTTTGGACTTCATCTCCCATCAACGCGCTCCAACGGAGCCAAGCTCAGGGAGCCCAGGTTCCGTTTGGATGCCAGGAAGCGCTTCCTGACAGTCAGGACCCCGAGGGGGTGGAACGGGCTTCCATGGGAGGTGGGTGAGGCCCCCTCGGTGCGGGTGTTCAAGGATAGGCTGGACGTGCACATGGTGGGCATGTCGTGAGAAGAGCCAGCTAGGGCCAGGGGTCAGACTAGATGGCCCGGGAGGCCCCTTCGGACTCGCTCCGTCTCTATGTTTCAACCCCAGCCAGTCCAGAATGTGATCCTCGGAGGTGAGGTCCAAAGCACCTGTAGAGCACCAAGCTGGAGACGCTGCTCGGTCTGGGGTTTGGACTTTCCACCTGCACTCCCAAGCGCTTGAGCCCCAACCTGCTGCGGTGCTGTGCGAGGGACGGGTGGGAGTGGGTGGCGTCTGAGCCCCACAGCTCCTCTCGCCCCACTCGCATTCCCACGCATGGGTCTCTCTCTTTCCGCAGTTAGGAAAAATGTGCATTTCTCCCAGCTGAGAAAGCACATGAAAGCACTATTTCCCCTGATCTGGAAATACACATTTTTCTCCAGCGGTTGGGGCATTAAAATGCAGGTGTGGGAATTTGCAGCCTGGGGACTATTTCGCAGTAGTGCCCACTTACCAAGAGCAACCTTGAGTTACGGGAAATTGTGAAAATGTCCCAAGAGCTGCATTCTCTCCATGCTCAGGAGTGCAAGAATTAGGAACAGGAAAGAAATTCTCTTCTGCATGGCCGTACCTGGTCAAACTTTCGGGTACTGTACACCTTATTCTTGTTCATGAAGGTCAGTAAGATCCAGTCACACAGGAAGGACCCCTGCAGAGGGGCAGGAGAAGGCGCGATCAGCATCGGGCAGGCCCTTCCTCTGTCTAGAAGAGGGCAGGCTTGCAGCAGCCCCGATGCCCGCACTCACCAGCCCCACGGAGGTCAGCGCTGTGGCCAGGTTAATTATGGTAGGGATGAGGCTGAACTTCCCGGCCTGGGGGAAAGAGCAGCGGAAGAACCCCCGTTAGCGCCAGCCACGCAACTCCTTCAGGGCGGAACTAGGCCCCGTCAAATGTGCAGCCACTATCAAGCCCTAACCTTTTTCTTACACTAGTGCCGGCACGGGGGGGGGGGGGGGGGGTCTTTATCTGGACTGGGACTGCTGCACATAAGCAGAGCGACTTTTGCATCCGAGAGGCATCCGCTCCCTCCTACCCACACACACGCATACACAGGCAAGTGTGTATGTCACAGCCAAGGATGTGGGGAACTGCCACGAGGCTTCCTTCCACTGTTAACCTTTGGAGCATGGGAGCCCCTTCCCACCTGTGGATTCCCACCCTGCTCCAGTGGCCCTAAAAGCAAGCGCCTGCTTGAGGTGGGGAGGGAAAGGAACGAGCCCGCATCCGTCACCTGTCCCTGCACAATGACATCGACCCGGATTCCATAAGCCTTGATCAAGGTACGTGTGCTCTTCCCACTGCAGTGATAGTACTTGGCAAACCTGCAACCCAAAAGTGCAACGATGGAGCCCCCCTGCGAGGCCGGGTTTCTGCCGCCTAAGGCAGGTGCCTCACTCTGCCGGATGGCCCGAAACCTTCCCTTTGTCGCCCTCGGAGCCCCCATGCCTCCGTCTTCCTCTCTACGCTGTACTCCCAGGTGTGGGCAGCTTGCTCGCCTTCCCCCAAGCCTTCCAGGTGGCAGCCCCCTCCTCATCCCTACGGGGGAGGGGAAGGACGACAGAGTCCAGCAGATGCGGCTGCAGGCCTCTCTCCCCCAGGCCAGCCCCCCGGCATTACCTGTAGTTGTAGCCCGAGGAGACCTGAGCCCACTTGGGGTCAAGCCTGCGGAAGGAGTAGCGGGGGTTGCACTCGGAGTCCGGCAGGTCCAGGTTGCAGTTCCAGTTGATAATCACGCCAATCACGCCACCCTGCCGAGGGAAGGGCCACTGGGTTGGGGCAGGGCTGCCTTGGCATGCCCAGCACCCCCTGCGCCCCCAGCCTGTCCCCTTCATGGCAGCCGCCCCAGGACCACCGCCGTTTCCCGGGACACATCCCGGTTTGTCTAAGGGACCAACTCAGCCACGGGGCGCTCAGGAGCATGGCCAAGTCAAATGCCGCCAGTCTCGCCCCAGGAAGAAGCCTTTGTGATGCTCAACCCCCACAGTAACTTTCCCGAAAAGTGCGTGCTGCACACAGACGCCTCCGTGAGCAGACGCTCACAAGCACTCGTTGCACAATGGAGCAGGGGGCACAGTGGCCACATGGGGTGCGAGACGAAGGAAGGTCACCTCACCCAAGACATGGCAAAGAGGGAGGCACACAGACTAGGACAGAGGGACTGTTCAGTGAAAGCATCTTATGAGTGCCCACCTGGTCTTCGTCCCAGTCCCTTCTGAGTTATTAGTAGAAACTGACAGCAGACTATTACATTGTTCTTCATAGCCACAAGGCCTAGAACCTTCCCTTTAAAAAAAAAAAAAAAACCTTTCTGCAAGCTTTCTTGTGTTCATGCATACATTTTGCTTTGCATAGAAGAGGTTAAGAAGCTTTCCCAGTGCAGTCTCTTTTTAGGCTCCTGCCACCCCCAAACTCTGAACCATAAAAGCCACCCTCTAAGACAGTGATGGCAAAACTTTTAGAGGCCGAGTGCCCAAACTGCAACTCAGAGCCCACTTATGTATCGCAAAGTGTCAACACAGCAATAAAACCTGAATTTGCTGACCACCAGCACAAGGGGGAAACGTTCCACTGACCACCAGCTTTTGGCCGGCCCTGAAAAAGGCATCTGAGTATATTTTCATTTCCTATCTTTCCTATCTTCTGCTAAAATCACAGTCCAAGGAAATCCCTGGCAGCTCACTGACCAGCCATGCAGAATGAAGTCATTGTCTGGTGCCCTTAATCTTCCCGAATATGCGCATGGCACGCATGCCGCATGCCTTCAGGCACGCATGCCTAGGTTCACCATCACTGCTCTAAGGCGTTCTCCTGCACAGGCTTCCTTGGAATGGGCAGGAGTCCAGCTGCTTCCCTGGCACCCACAGAGACCCAGGCAGAAAGCTGCTGGGGGGCCTTCAGTGGGTGCCCCCTCCCTCCTCTTGGGTGCGGCCATGCCCTGGCTTGCACCTCCTTGTCCTCACCACCACCATGTTCCGAGCCAGACCGCCAGGCAGGCAAGGCAGCAAGCTGCAATGCGGAAGAGGAGCAGCGGCTGGGGGGGCGGGCGCTGGGTTGTGGCTCCCCGGCAGGCCTGCTTGGACCACCTGTGGCATCCCCGCTGGCGGGGTGAAGGGGAAATGGCGCACTCTGATGGCTGAACCGGCTGGAGTTCACTGCTTTACCGCTCCACTTCTTGCCGTTCCTCCCACACTGAGCGCTCCCAAGAGCCCTTTGGCTAGCCCACCACTGAACTGGAACTCCCCCTCCAGCTCTGCTGGTCCCCTCACAGCAGGGGCCATGTTGGTGACTGGAGCCAGGGGAGCCAGCAGTGCTCTTCCCACCCCCACCCCCGCCATTTGCCCCAGAAGCCCTGCTCCTGCAGGGATGCTGCCTCAGCACTTTTCCAGA